CTGCTGACCTTTTCCTGCGCGCGGTTGAGTCGCTTCTGGACGTTCTTGGCGAAGATGCCCGTCTTGATGTCAGCCATGGCTGCAGGTCCGCGGAGGCTGCGAGGAGCGGAGCGGGCGGCGGGCCGGTGGCGGTGAGGAGGAGCCGGAGAGGAGGAGGAGCGGGAGACCAGGAGGAGGAGGAGGAGCGGGAGACGAGGAGCGGGAGCAGTTTTAGTGGCGCGGAGCAGCCGAGCGCCGGGAGGGGTGAGGGGGGTGCGCGGCGGCGGGGACCCGCTTAAAGCGACAGAGCGAAGGCGGGATGCGCCAGGCCTGGCAGTGACACGAGGCGGGGTGGCGAGCACGAGAGAGGGAAGAAGCCAGAAGTCAAAATGCCCGGGTTGTGCCCACGGTGATGGAGAGGAGCCTGGAGGAGAAAGGGAACAGAACTGAGCAGCAGCCCCAGGGCCCAAGGCGGCTCTGGGGTTCTTTTAGGGCGGAGTTTGGGCTGGGGGAGGGGGAGGGGGCCCATTTCTTTCCCTCAAAACAGAGAAGATGGAGAGAGAGAAGGGGGGGCCCTGGGAATGTGGACTTGGAGCAGCGCTGAAGTGGAAAGGGGTGGGGCTGGTCTCCCAGGAGGACCTGCTGGACCATCCCCTGGGCAGAGAGCGCACCCCTAGATTATCTGTGGGTTCTGCAAGAACGCCTGGGCCTCGCCCTGCCCTCCGGAGGCTCGCAGCCTCACGAGGGGGAAAACTGACTGGAAAACTGAGCCCAGGCAGGCGTTAGAGCTGCGGCACAGGCAGCGAGAGAGGAGAGGAGGGAGGGCCCAGTGCTGGCACTTGTATGAACTTCAAGACAAGACTTGGGGCGAGGGCGGGAGGCCCTTTGCCGAGAACCCTCGGCTCCTTTAAGGCAGGGGCTGTGCTTTGGCGATCTCCGTGATCCCTGCGCAGAGCGGAGACCCCGGCACAGGCCCATCCCGGAAGCGGTGTAGGAAGAGCCGTGTCCTTTACTGCCTCACACCCGCAGGGAGAGATCCGGGCCTCCTAACCTTTCGCTTCTTCCCCACCTTATGGCAACTTTCACAGGCATGCACCATCCTCAGGATACTTAGCAGAAGTAAGAATAATAGGGGTAAATCAAACTGTTCATATTCAGTTCTTTCTGAGAGTTCGAGAAGAGTAAGGCGGGTGGCCCAGCAAACGGGCCAGAAGTGAATCAGGCACCTGAATCCTGTGAATCCGAGAGAGCATCTCACTGCATCTCTGGAGTAGACTGTCACCTTGGCAGCCCCCAGTGAACTGCCCCTTGGTATCCACTCCTAGCGTAGTCCCCTCACCTTGATTTTAGAAGGCGCTGTGACTGACTTTTACCAGTAAGATATGGCGGAAGTACACCTACGCCTTGAGAAGCCAGGCAGGTTTTGCACTCACTCCGAGGAGCCCTGTGATACCTTGCAGAGAGGTTCAGCTACCCTGCTGTAAAGCCCCTTGGAGAGGCCATCTGAAAAGGGAGAAGCACTAGATTATTTGGTCTGGGAGCAAGGCCCGGTTATCCCTGAATCCCGGCTGAGACCAGCCTCCAGCTACACACTGGCTGGATGCAGCCACACAAATAATGATCAGCAAAACCAGCAGAAGAACCGCCCAGCGCATCCTAGCCAAGAGAGTGGAATGATGGGCAAACAAAATGATACTTGTTTTGAGCCAGTAACTTTTGTGATGGTTCCATTACCGAAATACCCAGTCTATTCACTTGGCTCTTATTTTCTTAGGATGACAATGCACCCGTTTGCCCAGGTATGAAGGTGCTTCCAGGACACAGGACTCTTAGTGCTAAAACCAGGTAAGTCCTGGGTAAATTGCTGAGTTGGTCACCCTACTTCCAACATCCCAGGTAAACAGGAGTTTACTTCCGAGCAAAGTAAGAGAAACTTGATTCCTCTCTTGCTCAACATTCAGCAGAAAAGACTGCTCAGAAGCCAGGAATTTGAGTCAGTTCTGTAAAACAAAGGGCTTCTGAACCTTCACCCTGCTTCGCAATCTTGGCCATGAGAATACAAGCCTAAGAATGTTGGAATATACCAGAACATTCTGGAGCATATCAGTCCATGGTCACTCTTATACTGTGAGCTCCAGAGCCCCCTCTGTTCCCTTGCTGGACCTGGCTACAGCCCCCATTGCAGAGTCACTGCCCTCTTTCTGACAAACAAGAGACAGAGTTCCAAGCAGTGGGTTTATCTTTTCTCTGCTTCCTTAGAGCCCAGGCCATTCATTTCCTCTGTATCAGCTCTTCTCTCTCCTGGCAGTTATTCCCCCACTGATTTTTGGAACACAATGAATATTTTTTGAAAATGGTTAACTTTTCTTATCATCCAGATGCCCAAATCTAGAGCTGTAATGTGGGTGGAAAGGGAAGCTTGTCATTTCTTGATAATTCTATTTGGAATACATGCTGAGCATACTGAAAATTTATGTGCAAACTATTATCAAATTCACCCATATCCATTTTCAGGTTGCCATGTGGCTCTTATTCTGGCCACTCTGGACTATTCATGAAGCACTTTAGTTGGTACTTATTAGGTGCTCTGTAAATATTTGTTGAAAAAGATGCAGCCATGCACGAGACTGCATTCTTAGCTCATAATTCTGCAATAATGCTAGTGGAAGAGGGATGGGAATAGGGGACCCCAACCAAAATGATGTTTTGTCCTTAGGATAATTTTTTATTGAAATGTAGTTGATTTACAATGTTGTGTTAGTTTCAGGTATACAGCAAAGTGATTCTGTTACACATATATATTTATCTGTTCTTTTTAGATTCTTTCTCATTATAGGTTATTACAAGATACTGAATATAGTTCCCTGTGCTATACAGTATGAACTTATTGTTTATCTATCATATATATATGTTAGTGTCTGCAAATCACAAACTCAAAATTTATCCCTTCCCACTTCCTTCCCTCCCTGGTAGCCATAAGTTTGTTTTCTATGCCTGTGAGTCTGTTTCTGTTTTGTAAATAAGATCATTTGGCTTTTTTTTTTTAGATTCCACATGTAAGTGATATCATATGGTATTTTTCTTTCTCTTTCTGGCTTACGTCTCCTAGAATGACAATCTCTGGGTCCATCCATGTTGTTGCAAATGGCATTTTTATGGCTGAGTAGTATTCCATTGTATGTATTTACCACAACTTCTTTATCCAGTCATCTGTCAATGGACGTTTAGGTTGTTTCCATGTCTTGGCTATTGTAAATTGTGCTGCTATGAACATTGGGGTGCAGGTGTCTTTTCAAATTAGAGTTTTTTCCAGACATATGTCCAGGAGTCGGATTGCTGAATCATATGGTAAATCTGTTTTAAATTTTTTTAAGGAATCTTCATTCTGTTTTCCATAATGGCTGCACCAAGGTACATTCCTACCAATAGTGTAGGAGGGTTCCCTTTTCTCCACACCATTTTGTTTATTCATTTTATTTATTGTTTGTGGATTTAAAATGATAGACATTTGACTGGTAGGAGGTGATATCTCATTGTAGTTTTGATCTGCATTTCTCTGATAATTAGCAATATTGAGCATTTTTTCATGTGCCTATTGGCCATTGGTATATCCTCATTGGAGAATTGCTTGTTTAGGTCTTCTGCCCATTTTTGGGTTGGGTTGTTGCAAATATTTTCTCTCATTCCATTGGTTGTCTTTTGGGTTTGTTTTTCTTGCAAAAGCTTTAAAGTTTAATTAGGTCTCATTTGTTTGTTTTTGCTTTTATTTGTATTGCTTGGGTAGACTTCCCTAGGAGAACATTACTAAGATTTATGTCAGAGAATGTTTTGCCTGTGTTTTCTTCTAAGAGGTTTATAGTATCTTGTCTTATGTGCATGTATTTAAGCCATTTTGAGTTTATTTTTGTGTGTGGTGTGAGGGAGTGTTCTAACTTCATTGATTTACGCATGGCTATCCAGTTTTCCCAATACCACTTGCTGAAGAGACTGTCTTTCCTCCATTGTATATTCTTATCTCCTTTGTTGAAGATTAATTGACCATATGTATGGGTTTATTTCTGGGCTCTCTATTCTGTTCCACTGATTCATCTGTCTGTTTTTGTGCCAATACCATGCTGTTTCGAATAGCTTTATCTGAAGACTTGAAAGGTTATTCCTCCAGCTTCATTCTTTTTCTTCAATATTGCTTTGGCAGTTCTGGGTCTTTTGTGGTTCCATATAAATTTCAGAATTATTTGTTCTAGTTCTGTGAAAAATGTCATGGGTAATTTGACAGGGACAAGATCCATGCGTTTGTGTGTGTTTCCTTCATGCCCAACACCACTGGGCCCTCCCACCAACATTCCTTGACTGTGTCTTTTCCACATAGTGTCATCCGTTTTTCCCCTCAGTCAGTCAAGGAATAACATGGCCTTTTCAGTTCCATGTGGATGTCACTATGAATGAAAAGTAACCCCAACTCTCTCATTTCAGGGACAAGCTTAGGTATCAAATTATATTTAATGATTATTCAGGTAAGGGTTACCCAGCCTTAAAAAGCATTCTAACTTCAACCCCAGATCTTCATCTGAACGCGGCAGAATTCCTGAATTAATTCCTACTCCCAGTTCACCTTCCTTCCTTCTAAATAGCACTTCAAATTGGTTGATAAGTCAAAAATATGATTATGACAGGTTTTGGTAATTTGTAATAGTCCCAGAATTGTCACTATATTATCACAAAACTCATTTTCCAGATGTTTTAATGATACAGAAGTTTATTTTTGCCTATATTTATATCTTGTAAGTCCCATTTAGACCCTTAGGGAAGGAGATTTCTAGATCCAGTTTTTACCTGTCTACCTCTTTGCTAACACGCATATGAGTTAAAATATATACTATATACCCTCATTAGCTACAGCTTCTTTGCATCATTATACAGATAATTAAGGAGCCATTCCATTTAAACGCTTGGTGGAATCTAACTGGAATTTTGGTCCCATACAAATTATGACTAATGCTTATACTTGCCTCTTTGTTTAAAGACTCAGACAAAAATTTTATTGTTTCTCACAAATGTTGAAAGAGCAGTGAAAGGAGGATGTGCTGTAAAAAAATGTTTTTTGACTGATCATCTTGTAGATTGCAGGTGAAAACACCCAACTTTTCCAAGCCAACTATTTTACATTTAAGTTCCACATATATTTTTTACTAAATTGCATGGCTATGCTTTTCCTTTCCTAATTTAACCAAATCTAAAAATAAAAACCTCCTAACTCTATTAATAATGCATCACTAATGTATCCCAAAATACTGCACAGGAGGCAAGAGCTTTGTTTTAATAGTCTGAGCCATCGGCCACTAAGGAAAACAATAACATCGTATTAAATTGCCTAATAACTTTAAAGCATTTCAACACCATCTGTGATGCCTTTATGCAAAATAGATGCAAAACAACTTCTATACCCCATGACAAATTGCTTGAACATCATTTAATGG